ACGTCTCCATTGGAGACTTTGTTGTTACTGCGTCTGGCATATCGAATACGTCACGGGGAGCTTGCCAGGCTCTGCCGTGCGGGCGAGATACTCTCGGTAGCTTGCCGGGCTCTCTGAGAGGGCAGAGGAATCGAACTCGGGTGGCCATGTTGGCTGTGTGCAAGGCAAACGCCCTACTGCTGTGCTATCGCTCCAGCCCCCCTAGAATGTAGAACTATATAAATCATGGTGTCTAAGTGAAAATGGAAAAGTCCTCAGTGGGGCAGGTGTATCACACACACACACACACACACACACACACACACACACACACAGAAGTAATTTGGGGTGTTTTTGTTCGGGGGCCACACTGATGGTGCTTGGCGAACCTTGTGGTGCCAGGGTTCAAACTTGGTGCTCCAGCATGCAGAGAAGGCACTTCAGACCTTTAAACTGTTGTGATTGGGGGCCACACCCTACGGTGCTCAGAGTCTAGTTCTGGCTCTGTGCTCACTAGTGGCTCCTGACGGTGCTTGGGGGACCACACGTGGTGTCAAGGATCAAATCATGGCGTCTTACTTCCTGCAGTCTTTCCAGTCCTTATTTGCGAAGCATGCACTCAGCCCATTGAGATCTCTCTCTGACCCCGTCTTTTGTTTATTTTAAAAAAAATAACGAAAGGGGCTGGAGTGATAGTATAGCAGGTAGGGTGTCTGCCTGGCAAGAGGCCAGCTCAGATTTGACCCCTGGTATCCATTCTGGTTCCCCAAGCACTGCTAGGAGTAACCCTGGAGCACTGCTGGGTGAGACCCAAAAACAAACCAAAACTTACTTAAAAAATAAAAAATACGGGGCTGGAGTGATAGCATAGCGGGTAGGGCGTTTGCCTTGCACGCAGCCAACCTGGGTTCGATTCCCAGCATCCCATATGGTCCCCCGAGCTTTTATTTATTTTTTTAAAGAATAGCTTTTATTAACTACAGTGCTTTCTAAAGTGGAAAGCTAACATGCAAGTATCGACCTCAGGTCAGGGAGATAATGCAGAGGGTAGGGCACTTGCCTTGCATTTGGCCAACCCGGGTTTGGTCCCTGGTACCACATTTGGTCCCCTGAGTCCTGCCAGGAGTGTTGACTGAACAGTCAGGAGTAAGCCCTGAGAACAGCTAGGAGTGGTTCCCTACATCCCCCCCCCGCCAAAAAAAGGGGTAAAAACCGAACCAGAACAAAACAACAAAAGAATCTAGAAGACCAAGGTCTACAACCGAATACCCTACAGAATTGATTTTCGGTAAACTCGTTAAATCTAGAACTCCGGGTTTCTCCCAAAGTTTGCTGCGAACCAATAACCAGAAAGCACACCCTTGGTTAGCAATGCACACAAAACAACAAGGGGTGGGGCTGGGCTTTGGTGTGTGGCTGGGGACTTGCAGAGTACCGAGCTGCCTGTGTGTCCCACTTCAGAGACCAGTAAGCCTTCCAGGGGTGCTGGAGAGCGTCCATGTGTCTGTCCTTCAGGCCTCCAGAGTGGGTCGTGGAGGTGCGAGGGGCCATTGTCACCAGGACCGAATCTGATCAGCCTCACCCGCCGACCCATCAACCCACTTCAGAAGCCAGCCAGCAGGTGCACGGCCTTCACCGAGCACTGCGCCTTTTCTATCACCCATTCCAGTGTTAGAAAGAAGGAAGGTTTCAGCCAAAGGAAACTCAGAAAGAAACATTTTTATTTTCAGAGCAGCTGATGCAATACTGAACCAGATTTTCACAAATAAATAGAACAGAGTTTATTTGGTTACATCTCTAGTTGGAGAATGCCTGTCTATAGGATGTGCAAAAGTTTCTGAGAAGGTGGGTGACTAGATCTTTCAAGTAAAATGCTCCTGGCTCTTGCTGGAAAAAAAAAATTGTGATCATTAAAAAAGAACAAAAGAAAATAAAACAAAAACCGACTGTAACTCGGGGAGAAAATCACCTAGGCTGCCCATTTTTTTTTTTGTTTTTTAAGGAATGCACCTTTTAAGGACAAATCTATAAAACATCTTTATTTATTTGTCACATAGATGTTTAAATATAACTTTGCTTTCAAGCTTCAAACTTTTTTAAATTTTTTAAACCCCTGGTAAAATAAGACTTTTGGTTCACTTTAACAAAAACTGACTTAGGAAGAAACATTTTTAGCAAAATGTATTATAAAATTCACTAGAAAATACTGTCCTCTTTTTGCCAAAATGTTACATAAAATCCTTATTAAAAATACACACGTTACAAAAGAAAAATTAGGAATATGCTATACATAGTGCGTTGGCTATGGACCCAGGGACTGGCATTCCGGGGAAAAATACAGTTTAGCACACGAGATATTATGATGTCAACTTATAATAGTGCAAGCCTGAATCAATCACATCCTGAATGGGAAGACATGCAAGTTATCGGCTGAGAACAGAATACTGCGAAGGCAAAACAGGAAGCAATCACCACCACTATTTAAAAATGTTTTCCTTTTTATTACATTAGGGTTTTTTTTTTTCAAAAATACTTTTCTTTACAATAGAACTCCTAGAAAATATTTACAACCTTCCTCTAATAAAATATAACAGCAGTTAAATATATTTGAAAATAAGATGGGTTTTCCATAAAATATATCTGTTAACTTTTATATACAAGCTTTCTCAAAGAGGTCTAAAGTCACGAATGAAAAGCCATCTGATCGTAAACAGTAACCGTGGTGAAGACGTTAGCCGTTAGGGGCAGAAGTTCTGGGGTGGGGCGGCAGGGGGCGCTACAGGGAGCTCGAACACCACGCACGCAGGCAGGCCAAAGGGCTTCGGAGAACATGAAGTGCATTACGTTACTGCAAAGTCAATTGTGGAAGTTGATCGTTGCGGAGAAGGAGGAATTCAGGAATTCGAACTGTCTCAGGAAGGAGTTCTTTGGTTGTCGCAAGTCAGAAATTCTTACACTACACTGTATGGAAAAATCAACGTTGAATGACGCTTCTCTTGGCAACTTCGTTTCTTTCTCCTGTTTAAAACTAGACTGGCCGGGCACGCCTCCAAACAGAGTGAATGTGTTTGCTTTATAAACATTTTCCTGGGTGTTGGCTCCTTTGACATAAAAGTTTTCGTAGACCCGGCAGCAGAAGTATTCCCTAATCCTTCTCCGATACCTGCAAACAGCGGAAGTCGTCACTTGGACAGATGCCGGCCGTCGTTAGCACAGCTGGAATATTCCAGAATAGCTTTGCCACAGCGTGGATGTAGCACCCAGCTTTTAACTTAATACTTAGAACAGAATAACCTGTCTGAAATGGCAGCAAAGAAAACGTTTTGTTTTTCAGCCTAAAGAAAAGATGAAGGAAGGAAAGTGTTCGTATTTTTCTCGCCCGTCCGTGGCTTTCCTGAGATTCCGTGAATCTGGTCTGGGAGGTGCCAGAAGTGGACGCCAAACACCTTTACAGAGTCAAACCGGAAGGGTGTTTGGGTCCTAGCCTCACGCTTTGTGCACCCTCTAATGCCATGATTCCAAGAACGAGCAGGACTGCCACCCTGTGTGCGGCTGAGGAACCGGCCTATCTGGGTTGGGCAGGGCCTCAGAAGAAGTGACACCTGGTTATCTGCAAGGGGAGCCCCCCAAAGCAGTGCCCCCACTTGGCCTTTTGTGGGAAAGCGGCACTCACGTTCCCTAAAAGTGGAAGGGCCGGGCTGACTCAGCTCCAAGGCCCGAGCTCAATGCCACATTTTGAAGGATTACAGTTTTATTACCTTCAAGTACCAACAGGAACCCTGCCAACAGGGACAGGAAGAGGCAGAGCAAAGTTATGTGGCTTGGAGAATTCTAGAAGAGCTTTGGTAAATGACTGGAATGAATACATTCATTGTCTGAATGCAAACATTGTAGCTGAAGTGGTATCTGAAACCGTTTCTGTCAGCCTCTCTTTCCTATCTGCCTGGCATCTGCTACAGATTAGACAGTTCTTTTCCTTATAGTTAACATCAAGGTCAACTTCCGCCCAGCGTCAACGAATTAAAGCAAAATCCCAGTGAATGAGGTTTCACAGTATTTCCAAGTGGCACAGAGTAATTTCAGAACTCCACTGACCATCAACAGTGTTGCCAAAAAAAAAAAAAAAGTCTCTTCCAATCTAGTTTTGGGTCAAAGAACACTTTTTGGAATTCGATGGATGCCCTTTGTCCAACGTCCCAAGCAACGGCCACAGCAACTGGGGTTACTTCCCAGCCAGGTCCCCAGCCTGGAGACAGGATCCGACACACGTCAGCCAGAACAGGAGAACACAGAAGAGGTCACGTGGCTCTCTGAATCAGCTCCCCAGTAAGCCAGGGCCAGGCACAGAAGCCTGAATCTTACAGTACTCAGTTCCCAGGACCAGGCTAGCCAGGGAGAAGAGACTTATTTTCACATTTGGTCAAATCTTCAGATGACGTGTGTGCGCTAAGGAAAAGCCGGGCTGGTTGGACTCCCTGGATAGACGCACCCCTAGCAGAGAATCCTGTGGCAAAGACGCCAAGGTCAGAGCAAACTGCAGAATGAGGTCAGAACGGAACAAAAATAACTCTTGGTGGAAAAGGATGGCCCAGGCCCCAGCTCAGAAGAGGGGAGCCTGCCTCACACATACATAGCCAGGGGGACACAGGCGTGGACACACGGACACACACACGCACACTCTCACACTCATTCACTGCAAGCTTTGGGATAAAATGCAACCAGGATGGCTGACATCTGAAAGCAAAAGCACACGCACCTCAGTTTCCCTCCCTGCCGGGAGGAAGTTCATAGTAACGCCGGCCAGATGAGACGCCTCTTTTGAAAGAGAGTTGTGCCAATAATGTATTCCTCCCACAAAACAAGTATTTTTTTTTTTTAAATAAAAAGAAAAGAAACTGGCATATTTCCCTTCCCACCCTAAACCTGAAGAAAACGACCACTTTTTAAACAGGTAGTTTAAAATGGTTACGAAACAAGCAGGCAGACCAGGTTTCCTGACTTGGGACGACGGCGGCCGTGGGGTCTGGGGGCCCTAGAGTTCCGTGTCCCCTTGCAGCAGGACGGAGTCTTGGTCCTCCAGGAGGAGGTCAGCGTCCATGACCTCGGCCTCGCCCATGACGCCCCCCAGCTGCTGCACCATGTCGTCGTCCAGGATGCCCGCGTCCTTGATGGGCTTGAGGAGGTTCATCTGGTCCAGGGGCAGCAGCCCCGGGGCCCCGGCCGGGCCCGTAGTCCTCTCGATGGTGGCCGCCATCTCCGCCGCGAAGGCCGCCTTCTGCGCCTTCTGTCGCTGCTGCTCTTCCTGCTGCCGGTGGGTCTTCATGTGCGCGTTGCGGCTCTTGATCTTGAAGAAGACCCTGGCGGTGAGAGAGAAGCTGTGGTCACTTCATTTGTTTATTTACTTTTTTCCCCTTGGTTTGGGGGGCAGGGCTGAGGTCACACCTGGCGGTGCTCAGGGGTTTATCCTGGCTCCGTGCTCACTCCTGGTGCGGGGTGCCAGGGAGAACCCGTGGCAGCGGAGTGCTCTCTCTAGCCTCTCAGAAAGTCACTTGGTTAATCAGTACAGGTCAAACCTCCCTTAAAACAGTGTCCAGCAGGGGCTGGAGCAATAGCACAGCAGGTAGGGCATTTGCCTTGCACGCAGCTGACCTGGGTTCGATTCCCAGCATCCCATGTGGAGCACCGCCAGGAGTTAATTCCTGAGTGCATGAACCAGGTGTAACTCCTGTGCATCGCCAGGTGTGACCCAAAAACCAAACAAACAAAAAAAGCAGTGTCCGGCAGACACAGAGAACCACATGAATGGATGGCGGCTACTATAAAATGCCTGAAAGATTCTTCTAGGAAGGGTACTGCCAAGTAGGGGTCCCAGCTGTCTTGCACAGGGACAAGGGCTGCTTTCTGGGTGGCTTCAGGAGGTGGGGGGGGGAGGGGGTCCAGGTAACCATCCGTCAGGGTCATGGTCAGCACGGGGGTCCTGGGAGGAGAACCCAGCAAGGCAAGCGCACCTGATGGTGAAGAGCCCGCTGCCCCTGCGACCCACGGAGGAAACTGGGACTCAACACTGGACACCGGGGGAGTGAACACAGCCCAGCAGCAGCAGGACGGCCAGTGGGTAGGAGCCGGCTCTGCCTCTGAACGCAGCAGGGCTCAGAGGTGTGTGTCCCGGGGTCAAGATACATCTCCTAACTTCAGTCCTCATCGGAAGGACGAGAAGCCGTGTCGGCCGCGGACGGAGTTTCTGGGTGAGCATTATGTGAGCTCACGCGTACAGAGCGTGTAACGCGTGAGCGCTCGGTAGCCACCGACAGCGACTCCAGCAACGCACTGCCAGTCTCCCCAGGCTAACGGTTAGGAACTCTCCCTAAATAAGGACAAGGATGACAAAGAGATTTTATCTCGTCAACCAGGGCCAGCTGGCTGTGCCAGTTGGGGCCTGCGGTCTTGTCTGAACATGGTAGCAGGGCATAGTGACCTGACTGACGCCCTGGGCACAGAGACAGGCAGGAGGCCTGAGCGAGGCCGTGGGTTCCATCCCTCATTTTTTTTTTAAAAAGGAGAATGGTTTCAGACGAGGCACTTTAGAGTCATTTGCAAATAACCGTGCAGGGATGTGGAATACGGCTGGTCCGGGCTGAAGGGAACCTGAGCTCCACCCACTTTTTAGAAAAAAACTTGAGGAAAGGAGTGGCTCTGTCACGAGAGATTTACTGTCTGAAGTGCCCCTTCTTGTTCGGGTGGGGAGGTTTGGGTCTCACCCTGACCCAGGGCTGACTCCTGCGTGGCTCAGGGCCCGCGCCTGGCAGTGCTCAGGGGGCATTATGGGGTGGCGAGGATCGAACACAAGTTAGCGGCACGCAGGCAAGTTCCTCACTCGCCGTCCTACCGCTCCGGCCTCTGCAAAGATCCTTCCTTTACACAGGCTCTAGGAGGTCACAGTAGCGTTCCTCAGCTTAATCCGACAGGGACCAGCCACCTGAGGCCCCTGCAGGTGCCAAGGAGATGGGGGAACTCAGAGCACCTGGGCGACCCCTCAGACCATCTCGGCACCCCCCCCCCCCCATCCGCCGGAGCCACTATCCCGCCCACGATCACACCTGGTCCCCCTTGCACTCACTTGCCACACTCCTTGCAGGGGAAGATGGTGGTGGGGTCTGTCTCCCCGCTGGTGGTGCTGTGGGAGGGGGAGCTCTTCACCGAGCAGTAGCCGCTCTGGGCACTGCCAGCCTTCTGCTTCCCCGACGGGACGGCCGCCCGGGCTTTGGTCACCTGGTTGGTGCCTCCGTGGATGCGGGCATGGCCGTTCAGTGCCTGTCGGGAGCTGAACACCTGGGGAAGAGAGGGAGTGACATGACATCTACAGTCCTGAAAAGGAAACCAGGGTCATTAGTCACTCGGTGGCAAAGACATGGGTAGCAGCAGCAAGCGTCTAATGACAGGGCACAGCGCTCTGGTGGCCTCGGATACGCCAGCTCCCACGCCAGTGGGGCCCTCCCACTGTGGCTACGGGCAGAGGGCACGGGGGGCCGGGCGAGGCCAAAGGGACCAAGCCACCACTGAGAATTACTCCCACCCCCACCCCCATCCCTGCACTCGACCTGTTTTTACCCCTTTTCTTTTCTGCGTTCCTTTTAGGAGGTTTTGTTTTTGGTGGAGCCAGGAATCGAACCCAGGGCCTCACACCGATCAGGTCTTACTCAAAAGCTTACAGGTGATTGGCTTAAAACAGAGACAGCAGCCTGGAGCGAAACTGTTTGCTGTGTCCTCCCAGAAGTCCTTGGGTCCCAGAACAGTGGGGGGCCAGCGACAAGCTGACCGGGCGACCACAGAAGCCGTCTCCAGTGCCTCCATTTTAACACAGAATGGGCACGAAAGGGGACAGACCTGGCTTGTCACTTGAAGCTGGCCTGAAAGAGGGGTGTCCCCTGCCAGCACTCAATGGACCTCTGGGGCAGGAGAGCTGCCAGCTATGATTTGGGGGTGAGATTTACTCCTGGCTCTGTGCTCAGGGGTCACTCTTGGCTGTGCTTCGGGGGGGCCCTATGGGGTGCTGAGGAGCTAAGCAGGGTTGTCCCATGCAAGGCAAGCGTCCTGCCCACTGTACTGTCTCCCTGGCCTCAGAAACACTGTCATTGTTTTTTTCTTTTTGGGTCACACCCGGCGATGCACAGGGGTTCCTCCTGGCTCTGCGCTCAGGAATTACCCCTGGCGGTACTCAGGGAACCCTATGGGATGCTGGGAATTGAACCCGGGTCGGCCGCGTGCAAGGCAAACGCCCTACCCGCTGTACTATTGCTCCAGCCCCAGAAACACTGTCACTTAACGCCATCTCCATCGCCCCAAGTGGAGGTTCTATAGCAAATGGCAGTGATGGATTGGGATGTTCAGGCCATTCAACACCAAAGACAGGAACAAGTGGGCAATTTCTCTGCAAAGCTAATACAACTTGTCTAGAGCACCCCCTCCCTGTTTTGCCTTTCATTTTTTTTCTTTTGTTTTTGCTTTATGGGTCACACCCAGCAATGCTCAGGGGTTATTCTTGGCTCTGCACACAGGAGTTAGTCCTGGTGGTGCTCGGAGGATGCTGGGGATTTAACCCAGGTTGGCTGTGTGCAAGTCAAACACCCTACCTGCTGTGCTATCACTCCAGCCCCAACGCTGGCAGTTTTTTTTTTTTTTTTGCTTTTTGGGTCACACCCGGCGATGCTCAGGGGTTACTCCTGGCTTTGCACTCAGGAATCACTCCTGGCGGTGCTCGGGGGACCATATGGGATGCTGGGAATTGAACCCGGGTCGGCCGCATGCAAGGCAAACGCCCTCCCCGCTGTGCTATTGTTCCAGCCCAACGTTGGCATTTTTAAGTCATAACCTTAAGACCGTCCCTACACAGGTGCGCCTGGCTGTAAGAAACTTGACTCGGGTAAAACACAGTGAAGTTCACTGAGAGACCAAGGAAAGTAACTCAAGAAGGATCCCCTGGACACGCAGGCATGTGGTACGGCTGGTGCAGATTCTGAGTGGCCACAAGAGCAAGCAAAGAGGTCCTTCCATGTCAATTAAGTGGCACATCCAGCCACCTCAGGGCTGGGCCAGGGGCGGGACACACGTTGGTTCTGTTTTTATATTTTATTATGATTTTGTTGTTGGGGGGAGGCACACCCAGCAGTGCTCAGGGGTTATCCCTGGCTCTGCACTCAGAAATTACACCTGGCAGTGCTCAGGGGACCATATAGGATGCTGGGAATTGAACCCGGGTCGGCTGCATGCAAGGCAAACGCCCTACCCGCTGTGCTATCTCTCCAGCCCCATGGCCCCTTTAATTTTATTATTTTTTGTTTCGGGGGGAGGGGGCACACCTAGAGGTGCTCAGTCATGGCTTACTCCCGACTCTTAGCACAGGGATCACTCCTAGCCATGTTCAGGGGAACTATATAGGGTGCTGGGATGGACCTGGCTGGCCACGTGCAAAGCAAGTACTCACTGTACCCAGCCAGCCCTGTGTTTTTTTTTTTTTTTCCTTTTTATGTCACACCCAGTGATGCTCAGGGATTACTCCTGGCTCTGCACTCAGGATTTACTCCTGGCGGTGCTTGGGGACCATATGGGATGCCAGAGAATAAACCTGGGTTGGCCGTGTGCAAGGCAAACGCCCTACCTGCTGTGCTATGGTTCCAGCCCCAAGCCCTGTGGATTTTTAATGCATGATAGTTTAGGTCAGTATTGCTCTTTTAATTTTTATGAGCAGGACCTGAAGCAGTGAGGAGAGAGAGAGAGAGAGAGAGAGAGAGAGAGAGAGAGAGAGAGAGAGAGAGAGAGAGAGAGAGAGAGAGTGTTGGGGTGGAGGGGCGTGCAGTTCTGGGAACTCACACGTGTGAGGCCAGTGCCCTAGCTGAACTTCCAAGCTACTCCCCGGCCCCATTTCTTCGTTTCCTAAAGCCAAGCAGAGCCCCGCAGCCCTTACTAGGTGCCCGGCGGACGCAGCGACACTTACAGCCCCACAGTTGGGCATTTCGCAGACGAAGGAGCCGGAGGGCTGGCCCAGGGCCTGCAGGGGTGGCCCCTCGGTGGCGGCCAGGACGGGGCCTGGTGGCGGCTCCGGGGACTTGCACACTTCGCTCTCCTCTTCTCGGGGGCACTTCCTGTCTTCGTCCGGGTCCTCCTCTTCCTCTTCCAGCTCTTCTTCTTCTTCACTTGTCTGGGTTGAAGCAGAAGGGGAGAGGCCCAAATGGCCTTTTCAGTGATGACCAGAACGCCCAGGCCAGGAGAGGGGTCGTGCACTGTGGGGAGAGGCCCTGGGGGCGGTGGGGCTCTCAAGGGCGGGTCCCTTGGCACTGGACGCTGAGGCCCCCCGCCTGGCACTGGGCCCCACTATCACTTGTATAAAAATAAGCAAAGGCAGAGAGGGGGGATGTCTGCACCCAGAGCTCCCCCTACGCACCCCACTGGAGGCCCCTCGAGCCAACTCATCGACTCATCAGGCACCGGCTCCTGCTGGCAGCTCTGACTCCCCAGGGAGGAGTTCGAGCCACAAGGCTGTGGTTGTGGGATCACTCCTGGCGGTGCTCAGGGCCATATGAGATGCGGGGATGGAATCCAGATGGGCCGCGTGCAAGGCAGGGGCCCTCCCCGCTGTGCTCAGAGTCTTAAAACCTACTGCAATTGTTTCCCTTCCCCTCGCTTCAAATTTTGGGTCATACCCAGCTGTGCTCGGGGTCCTCCTGGCTTTGTGCTCAGGGATCACTCCTGGCAGGCCCTGGGGACCATATGAGGTGCTGGAGATCGAAGCCCAGGTCGGCCACGTGCAAGGCAAATGCTCTACGGGCTCTGGCCCTCAGGACTGCTTGTACAGGCCGTGCACGTAACCTATTCCCTGGCAAGCAGTGTAGCTGGCTGAGCTGCCCCAGGCCCACCGACAGGCTGAACGCAGTGCTCCTGCACTCGGCCTTGCTCCGGCCTCACGTGCAGGGGAGGAAAGTAAAAGCGGCCCTTCCCTGGACCGTCACATTTCTCCGACACTGCTGGGGCCGAACCCTAAGCAGTGAGCCAGGAGTAGCGCCTGAGCACCAGTGGCTGAATCAACCGTTTGTACGAAGAATCTCCCTCTCCGCAACTCTGCCCCTTTCGGCTTCGTCAGAGCAGAGGGAGCCTGATTTCCACCCACCTCAAGGTGAACAAGAATTACGGCAGCAGTGGGGGACAGGGACCCGGGGGTGCTTCTTCTTTCTTGGTTATCTATTCTGTTTTGAGGGCCACACCTGGTGACGCACAGGGGTTACTCCTGGCTCTGCACTCAGGGATCACTCCTGGTGGTTTTCATTCAGGGCCATAGGGGATGCTGGGGATGGAACCCGGGTGGTCTGCGCGCTGTGTTTCCCTCCGGGCCTGGCACCTGTTCTAGCTCACGCCTGCATTCTGCTTCCTGCATCCTCCCCAGTGGCGAGGAGTCCCTGGGTGCAGACAGGGCTGCAGGCAGCGTCGGCTCGCGACACTACACAGCTGGCAGAGCATGCCATGGTCACTGTCACTGGACAGGCTGCGAATAGTCCCTTCCTTCTAGACATGGGGAAACAAAGGTCGCTCCTGGCTGGTAACCCTGGTCCTGCCCAGCGTCTGCACACACACCACTTCAAGCACGCAGGCTTCAACATGCGTGGGCCAGACAGCATCTTCACTCTGGAGCCCAGAAGCCAGAATTTCCCAGAGTACAGACTTCCGAGGGCAGCTGCACTCCCGGGGCCTCCTCAGCCTCCTCTCTCCGTTTGGGTTGGGGGTGAGGGAAGAGAAGGTCGGTGGCTATGATGCAGCTGGCAATGGACCGCGGCCATCCTGTACAACTGTAGCATGCACAACGGGGTCCATGTAAGAAATGGTCCCGGCTCCTGGCTCGTGAGGGCTGGATTAGTGGTGGATGCATGTGCTGGAAGGACTTCGGTGAAATCCTACAGCTTAGGTTAGAGAGTAATTTATATTCTGAAGAAAGCGGCAGATTTCGGAATCCCCTAGCACATTACAGGATGACTTCCCGCCAGTGGATTTAGTTATAAATCCAGTCTCTGTCCATCTCAAAGAGTTTCCAGCAAAACCATGTGATGTCAAACTCCATTCTTACACCCAGCTGAGGCCTCATGGTCTGAAGCAGTTTACAAGGCAGACCATGGCTGACAGCTTGGCATATGTTTATTTTGGCTTTGGGACCACACCCAGCAGTGATCACGGAGCTACTCCTGACTAGGTGTTTGGGGCCACTCCTGCCGGTGTTCAGGGTCCATGTGGTACCAGGGAATTAAACCTGGGTCTTGGCACGCAAAAAATGTGCTCCGTCCTATCTGTCGGCCTTATACCCTGGCACTTAAAATAAAATACACAGTACTCTTTAATAGCAATGGCATCTGTTTCATGGCACTTGTTGTAACTACAATTTTCTCACAATGCCGTTTGGTTTAAAAACTCTTAGCAGAAACATTTTACAAAGCCCCAAAATTATAGATTAAATTATACGGTACTGTGTTTACCCATGTCTCAGGAATTTAGAAGTTTTATTTTAACTGGCAATCTATGCAAGTTCACAAAATGATTTATTACGGAGCCATATGGCTCACCGAAGTGACTAAGAGATACAAAGATAGGAGGAAAAAAGATCCTAATGTGTAGAACTTTGTATCAACAAGTTGGCCATTTATGATGTGTTGGGAAATGAAACATTTAGCAATATTCTGAAACTGATAGAGGGTGGGCGCGTACAGCCTCGAGAGAGCGGTTAGAGATTCAAAGGGCGCCTAACACCTCCCACAGCCACAAGACGAGTTTCCCAGGGAGGAGACAGATAGCCATAGTTACGGAGAGACCTGTCTCTTGGAGTACTTTCCCCCTGCCCTCCCACGCAGTGCCCAGGAGGCCCGGGGCACCAGCAGGGCTCTTGGCTCAATGCATGGGTCTAAGATACGAGGCCGGGGTGCTGGACCGCTCCGGTGGTGCAGGGGCCAGAGGTTTTATTTCTCAGGCATATAAATGGTGTTTGCATTTTGAGAACTGTGTAATGTGGCTTAGTGGGAGAGGCCCTGGGCTTGATCCCCAGGTTACACCCCCCACCCCCAACACTCTCTCTCTCTCTCTCTTGAAGACATGTGCTGAGGGTAACCGTCGCTCAGGATGCTGGGGTCACAGAGACTGGCACGCCTGCAGACACTCCTACTTCTCACACCTGCCACGGGAACACTTTCTCTTTTTAAACGTATCAAGAAAGTGGCCAAACGTTTCTCAAGACGTTGAATGATGATTTAAAACCTACGCTGCTACCGAGAGCCAAACAACAACAACCCCACAATCTAAAACAGGATCGGGGAGCTGGTTCGGAGGGCTGGGTGGAGGTTCTGCATGTGGGAACCTGGGTCTAACCCCTGCACCAAAGGTCTTGAGGAAGCAGCATCGGAGCATCTCTGAGCACCGCAGGGTGTGGCCCCCAAACCTGACCCCCCTGCAGTACTAGTTTCCTTGCTGCAAAAGCCCACAGAGACCCATTTTGACACATGTGATCTGTGTGCAGTTTACTACAGAACTCCAGCAGATTTCTAGACTTCACAGACCAGTGGAACTGGTATCTCTGAATGCCGGGAAGGAAGTCTTTGTCTTCTGTCACTGGACTGCCTAACTAAAGTGACAAAAATCACGTTCCTTTTCCTTCTTGTCCTGAACCTCTGGACGCGCTCTCTGGCCCCTCGTGGGGGTTCTTCACCCTCACGCTCGTGGGCCCGACAGCCTTGCAATTGGCTCCCCTCTTCAGCTGAATTCTCAAACTGTGCTGCAAGTGGGGATTTGGGGGTGAGGTGGGGGGTCCTAGGGGTGGCCTGGGTCACATACGACCGTGCTCAGGGCTTATTTCTGGCTCTCTGCAGGGATCACCCCCAGTGGAGCTTGGAGGATTATAGTCAGAGCTGGGGATCTGAGCCGGGGTCAGGACGTTAAAGCGAGCACCTTATCTGCAGCGCTACTGCTGCTCTGGAAACACTCACAGACCCAGCGCCAGTCGTTGCCCTCCTTCGCGTGCAAGGCCTGGAGGGCGTGTGGGGCCTGAGGCCGGGGCCCCCTCGCTTGGCTGCCCTCCGCACCTAGGAGCACGGTTATTGCTTAGTCGTCTGTCTCCAAAAGTCTTCCTCCTGCTCCCTCAGCAGTCTGGGGACAGGCTCAGGAGAGACCCCACAGGTACTGGGGAGGTCCCCAGGGCAGAGCAGGGCCTGTCCCTGGCCCTCCCCTGTGCACCCCCAGCTCCCTAAGTTTTCATCCTTATGCGGTCCATTACCCTCAGAAGGTGCCACTGTGTCTTCAGCAGCCAAAGGGAGCCAGGAACCACATCGAGCGTTCCCTAAAACGGAGATTTTCTTGTATTCAGGGCCTGAGTGGCCCCGGCTTCTAGCTTTCTGCCTCCCTCCGCCGAGAGGTGGTAGGACACGGACAGTACAACTACCACTGGCCCTGGGGAACGAGCCCTCGCGGGAGCCTCCACCACCTTCCTGCCGGCCTCTCCAAAGCCCTGTGAGCCCGCGGCGTGGGTGCTGTCCTGGGTGGGAAAATCTTCCTCGACCGCCTGCCCACCGCCTTCCCGCTGAGCTCGCAGAGGACGAGGGGGGCGATGGCCTGGGACGGCTCCTACCCCCCGACCCGCCTCCATTCACTCAGCAGATAGCGACAGAGCACCAGGATCAGAGCAGACAGGAAGCCGTCCTTGGCAACAGCCACGCTCACGGGCACCCGTTCGCCTCAGCAGACCATGTCCTCTGACTTCACCCTCTTCCCTAATTGGACTTGGATCGAGCCAGAACACCCCACAGGGACTTCCCGAAGCTAAGAAATCGTCGCTCCCGTTGGACGGCCCGGCAAGCCTCCGCTTTAGGTTCGTGGCCACGAAGGCGTGGGTTCTTCGTGCTCCCCAAATTTACTGCCTATTCCACTCACATGGGAGGCTGTGCTTGGTGACACCACGGGAAGCCAGCTCTCTCGAGGGCCTCCCTTTCTGCCTGTGGAATGACGGAGGAGATGGCAATCCCGACATTTTCCAAGACTTTTTGGTTCTCTTGCCCTGTTGCTTTTATTTTTTATTTATTTATTTTTGCTTTCTGGGTCATACCTGGCGGTGCACAGGGGTTACTCCTGGATTTGCACTCATAAGCTACTCCTGGTGGTGCTCGGGGGACCATATGGGATGCTGGGGATCGAACCCGGGTTTGGCTGCATGCAAGGCAAACACCCTCCCCGCTGTGCTATCGCTCCAGGCCCATCATATTGCTTTTAAATGTGCTTGGACGTCACAGTCCCCTTCCCACGGTGCAAGCCACGTGCTCTCAGCTAACAGACGCTGTGATGAGCTATGAGGGGACTGGACACAGGTCAATGAGCATTCCAGCATCAACCATAGCACTAGCTATGTGCTGCCGGATGCTGCTTTTTTTAGGTGGTTGAACCAGAGGAGGCCGCAGCTTTTTCTTTATTTTGGACCACACCCAGCAGTGCTCAGAGATTATTGCTCCTAGCTCTGGCCTGGGGGGCTGCTCCCAACGGTGCTCGGGGGATCATGCACCTGGGCCTTCGGCGGGCAGCTCACGCTCTCTGGCCCTCTGAACCATCGCCCTTCCTGTCCTTGTCCCCACTCAGTGCTTTCTGTAATCTGAAGCCCAGGATGAGCAGAAGGTTATCTGGGTACGAGACTTCACTACTTAGACAGGTCGGAAACCTGGGAGGCAGCCTTGCCCTAGTCTGCCGATGCTGGTTTTCTGTAAGCTCTGATTATTACACATCTGCACGTACATTTCACAGCTGGGTTCAAGTTTTGGTTAGGAACTTGGGGTCTGCAGGATTAATGAGATCACCCCTTGTCAGCTCTCTGCAGGGATTTGCACCTGACACCTGGGGACGAGGCTCCCAGACACTCCCAGCCACTGGACGTGGCCAGCAAGCTGGACTCGTGGGTGCCATCTCTCACCTCGTACAACTGGCCTATGGGTCAAATGAGTCAAAGTCTGCAAAATGCCCAGGAACGAGCAGGTGCCGGGTGAGTGTCGTAAGGACCCTGCGTGGTTGCGTGTCGCCAGTTCTGACATGGCCGGGGCACACATGGGAATGCCAACGGAACGACTGGGCTTCGAGCCTATTCCCGTTCTACACAGAGGGCGCTGTGTGAGACCTGGTGCCACGGAGACAGTTTACGGCACACACGTGACAGAGACATGCCCCCCACGGTGGGGGAAGGAGCTTCCCTGTCTATGGCTGTAGAGATTCAGCCACAGGACAAAGGAGGGAGTGACGTGCAGAGCCCCGTGGACGCAGCTGGCGCAGGGACTTCCCTCTCGCTCTGTCTTTAGTTTGGATTCTGCGTGCAGATGGTTCAGGATGTGTGCTCGCGGGGGAGGTCAGAGAGGGGGAGAGAGAGGCACCCCGGCAGGCTCTGAACCAGCTTCTCAACAATGGGCTGATCCCAGCCCAGGCACAAGGTTCGAGCTCCTGTGTGCCCGTACTTCAGAGAAGCTGGGATCAAACCTGGGGGATCCTTTATCTTTCGGGGGTGTGCTATGGTCAGGGAAGGGCTATCCTGGGGTGCCAGGGCTAGCCTGGCCACCCTCTCCCCAACCTGCCAGCTCAGCCTCCTTCCATCCCCCACAATGGGAGGCTGGGGGCTGAGTGCCGCCCAGTGTGCAGACTCGACCCCTTCTCTCCGCTGCTACCTCTTGCGGGCCGCAGCCCCGAAGCCTCCCCGGCCGCCACTAACCTGGGCCTGGCGTGGGGGCGGGGCCGGCACAGGCAGCGCTTGGGCGTCACTCACCGCGCACTCGTCCAGGATCCCCGCCAGGCGTGTCCGGTGCTTCCGTCCCAGGCGCATGATCTTCTTCCACGTGTAGTAGTACTCCACACACTGGGCCACCGTCTTCGACTTCACCTAGCGGGAGAGCCACCAGCGCAGGGTGAGTGCCAGCCGGGCGATGCACGTGGGCCCACAGGCATAGGTGCCCGTGGCCTCTGCCCCTGGGCGCGGGGGAAGGCAGTGCCAGAAACAACGGTGGCGAGAAGGCTCCTTCCGGTCACTCGCCAGAAGGGAAACCGGTTCATCACGACCGTCTCTCCTCACAGGAAAGCGGCTGCCCGCTCTGGGCTGGTCTGTGACTCGACCCTCCTGACCAACCCCCTGTCACAGAGAGGCCCTGGAGATGTGTTTCAGGCTGATCCACAGAGAGGGTGATGATTACTCTTATTGTTATTATTATTCTTTTGCTTTTTGGGTCACTCCTGGCTCTGCACTCAGGAGTTACTCCTGGCGGTGCTCAGGGGACCATATGGGACCCTGGGGATCGAACTTGGATCTGGCATGTGCAAGGCAAATGCCCCATCTGCTGTCCTATCGCTCTGGTCCCTACTTTTATGATCGGGTTTGGGGGCCAGACATGGCGGTGCTTGGAGCCTACTCTTGGGTCTGTGTTCTGGGGACATTATGAGGTATCGGGGACTGAATGTGGGTGGGCCACATACAAGGATACATACATTTTATCTCTGTACTCTCTCTCTGGCCCTTTAAATTAAAAATAAAAAAGCCATAAAGCAATGTGTTTTTTATTTAACATGCTTGAATGTGCTTGGTTCTCTGACAGACTGACCTTCAAAATCTATTAATAAAAAATGTTTTTTTTTCCAGTAATTGAACAGGTATATTAGAGAAAAGATATGACAAGAGCTTAGCTTTTGCAGGAAACAAGTCTTGCCTTGTTCACCTCCCAGAAGGCAAAGGAAGAGGCATTTCATGCAATTTTCCTTTTTTTTTTTTTTGCTTTTTGGGTCACACCCGGCGATGCACAGGGGTTACTCCTGATCCTGCACTCAGGAGTTACTCCTGGCGGTGCTCAGGGGACTCTGGGATGCTGGGAATCGAACCTGTGTCGGCCACGTGCAAGGCAAACGCCCTACCCGCTGTGCTATTGCTCCAGCCCCCGCAATTTTATTTTTCAAGAAGTCATACCCAGCAGTACCCGGGCCTGAACTGAGGGTCCTGAACAAGCAAAGCATGTGCCCTACTTTTTCTTTTTTCTTTTTTTGGGGGGCGAGGGGTTGATGCACACCCGGCAGTGCTGAGGGCTTACTCCGGGTTCCAGGACCAGGGATTCCTCCTGGTGGGCTTGAGGGACCATATGGCACGTGGGGGAATAAACCTGGGTCGGCCGTGTGCAAGACAACTGCCCTACCCGTTGTATTTGTATTATCGCTCCAGCCTCTGGGGCTCTACCTCTTGAACCAAACCCTTGGCACAAGGTGGACATATTCTAAGGAGAGAAACTTGAGTTCTTAAATGCCCAAGTTCAAAGCAGCGTTCCCTACTGTGGGTCTTCTGGAGACAGGTCAAAAGTCAGCCAACTCCTTGGGGTGACACTGGGCCACCTGTGCAGGAAAGGGTTCCATCTTCAGGGCTCGTCCCCATCACAGCCACCGGGGACTTGGATTTCGACACCCGAAATCGCCCCGGGAGCAGGGAGACTAGCCCAGAGCGCGCCTGTTTCAGACCCACGAGTCCTGGCAAGCACCACCCATGAATTCATCACCAGTCACTTAGGTGTGGAGCTTTCAGGGAAGGCGGCCTGGGACACTGCAGTCCCCGGGGCAGGTGACTCAGGGGGAAGCAGGGCACGGCCAGGGCAGCCAAGAGCGGGGGGCCCCCCGGGCAAGGCCGGGCAGGATGCATCAGATCTGAAGCCTCCGCGTGAGGGCACCTACTCTGGTTCCCAGCGTTGGGCGCCTGGCCCAAGAGACATTCAGGAGTGCGATGCCCGGGATGTCCTGGAGGGTCCAGCTGTGGCCCGGGGCGCCTCTGTCCGCCTGACTTTGAAATCCTTAATGACCTTAATAACCCAGAGGGTCCCATCATTCACTGGTGCTGGTAAACACTCTGAATCGTTTTAACTCAGAGCCTAACCTGCCTCTCGGTCAATTAAAGCCGATTAGGTGTCAATTACAGCCTATCTGCTGTATCACTGTTCACACGCGGGAGAGTTCTCCTGCCAAGTACTTCCTGTGAGAAGCATCTTTCTCCTACACCACGCTGATGAGGTGGGACCACACCAGAAACTGCTCCTGGCACTGAATGATTACCCTTCATTCATTGGACACCTTATGGGATATCTGGGATTCAACCTGGGTTGGCTGCATGCCAAGAGAATGCCCGACTCACAATTCACTCTGGTCCCAGGAATCTGTTTTTCTGAAAAGAAGGCGGCAGGACATATACATTTGGGACCTTTGGGAGATGGGAAAGGCAGGGATTCCCCCTTTTCTGGTTTTTCAGGAAATCAATCCTCAGAAACACGCTAGCTCTGTTCGACATACATGAATAAGCTGTGTAGCTGTGTACATTACCAGGCAGAGGCCCAGGTTCTATTTATTCTAATCAAATGTAAAGCATGCCTTTTTAATTAAGACAAATACAAGCTATACCACTGCCATGACCAAGTAATGTATGTCCCCCTTTTCCCCACAGGCCCGATACGGGGGCCAACCCCCGCTCCCCAAAATATGCTGCACTTCAGCAGTCGGGGGGTGGAAGGACCCCCCTTCTGTGAGAGTTCTAGGCCAGCAATCTGGTATTCTCACATTCCCTGTAGGTCATCAATGTCCCCAAACCAATTTCAAGTGGGCAATGAGCAAAAAGCATGCTTACCATTTTCTGTACAAAAATAAAGTCTTTGCTGTAAGTGGCCAGTGCTTTATTAAACAACTTTCTTTCTAGGGACGTCCACTTGTCAGAACCTACAAGGAAACACACGTCATAAGAACAGCGCGCAGCTCTCCCCGCTAACACTTGGCGCTCTTGGTTCGGTTACAAGCGACAACCGTTTCGCAGCCGATAGTATCTGTAATCTGTATCAACCTGCTCTGAGCAGGAACCCACGGCAACCATCCCGTGGTGAGTGGAGCCGACTCCCCGGCCCCGAGACTCGGTGTCCCTGCCTAGGAATGGGACTGAGACTAACTGTCCCAGCCTGAGGATCTGGGGGATGGTCAAAGCAGGACACACACACACACACACACACACACACACACACACACACACACACACACACAGTCTGACTTAGGAACTAGGAAAGAGGCAGTACTGGTTTTGTTTTTGTTTCTGAGTAAGTAACCGAGATGTGTGTGCCTGCAGGCCCGTCTCTGTCCTCTGGACGCTCACCACCATCGTGAAACAAGCCAGAGCAGGCACTGCCTTCAAAGTGCAGTGATGTGAGGAGGGTCAGAGGCCAATGGCGCCAAGGAGGACCCAGCACTCGGCCTGCATGGCTTCCAAGTAGAGGAGAGCCGGGGCATTGCTGCTGATGGGCCTGCAGCCAGTCAGGCCTGAAGGATGCAGAGGTCTGCCTGGAGGTGGGAGCGGTCCCTCGGACTGGCTCACTTTGTGTGGAACTGTGCAGCCAGGAGATGTGGCTGCCTCCCCCACGGGCCTGGCTCAGCGCTCACATGATTCCTTTGGTTTGGAAAAGACGTTGAGCCCTTTTGTTTCTAGAAGTATCTCTGGGACACCTGAGTGTGCAAATGATGGCCAATGGGAAGGAAGTTGTGGGAGTCTGGAGAAGCCCTGCTGGCGAGGAGGGACGCAGGTGGCGGTGGGCTCTGGGCTTTGCGGGTTCCCATCTTACACGCTTACACTCTAGTCAACACTCCAGGCCCCACTTCCGGTTCCCAGTACACAGGGCAGAGACAGGCAAGGACGGGGTTAATCCACAAGGTCTCAGGACGCCCAGAGAACATCTAAGGCCCTCTTGGGGTATCCAGCAAAATAGGAAACAGGATGAAAGAGAGAGAGAGGGAAGAGGATCCTGAGGTGGGCAGGTCACCCCCGCTAAGCTGGAAGAGAGGCCGAGAAGCCGGCCCGGCACAGGGCCAGAACCTCAACTCTCAACTGCATCTCAGATGGGGGATTGACACATTCTGCTGATGAAAGTCCCCAACCAGGTTCTTGGGACACCCTCTACCCTCAGCCGGACCAGAGTCTGAGTTGGAATGCAGTGCGGAACAAGGGGTCCAGCTCATGCCCAGCACGTGAGGTGCTACTCCACCCTAGGGCACACCCCCGCCTCCAAGTTCCCTACCACCAGCAGGCATGACCCCAGGGCCAAAAAGGGGGGCCTGGATGACTTACCAGGACTTACTTATTGGCTGCAGACTGGGCCCTGAATTTATTTTTGTGGAAGTTTATTGGATGTTCACTTTTGGGGAGGGGCTTCCCAAGCTGTGTCCAGGGGCCTGGAAGCACTTTAGGGGATATTTAATGCATTGGGTCGGACAGTTGATGCTGGGGCCATGCATTTCCGGGGTCCACCAGGGTCGCCTTCTGGGCTACACTGGCAACGCTCAGGGGACTATGCAGTCCTGGGGACCAGACTGGGGTCCTTCAGCCTTGATCCCTGTGCTCTCTCCTGGGCCTGAAATTTCCTGAGTTTCTGAGTCTGTTTCCTTTTTCTGTGACCTGGAAGTACAGAGTCACCTGAGGTCAGTGGCATTTGTCCCCACGGAAGAGCCCTGCAGAAGCAGACTCAAGCAGCCGAGACCATCAGTGACACAGGTCAACACGGTCCCTGTCGTGTCCTTCTTATGTCTGGATAATGCCACAGCCTAACCTGCCGCTAGGACTCGCTGTCTTCTCGTCCTGAATTTCCTGTATTCCAATGACCAGGAAGTGTCCCTGGCTGCGGAGTCTCTGAGGTCTTTCCTCCTCCTCAGCTGCTGGGCTTGGACTCTGCCTCTTGGCTGGGGTCCAGGCGACCTGGCTGCTCCGGGCCCCCTCCTCCGGCTCCCCACAGCAGGCGGAGTACAGAGCCGCGGGCGCTCACCCCCCCAGCGCTCATTTGTTCTACCTGGGGGATTCCTGGCTATTGGGCTATTTCCAGCAGGGGCCCCTAACAAGACGATTAAGGCTAATTACAGAGTCTAATTAACTGGCTGAATCCGGGGCTGGAACAGTATCCAAAGGGGGGCGGTTACCCGCAGTTCTGTGTTGGTTGCCGGGAAACCGGCTCAGTTTGGAGGCGCCGTGCGGGGAACCGAGGCGGTGAGAGGCACACAGGGGCGAGGGCAAGTGCGGGCACAGGGTTTTCTGCAGGGGGCCTTTCTGTGCCCCGTTCAAGAGTTTGGAAACTTCGACGGACGCTGCTGTGATCACAGTTATCAAGGAAAACGTCTACTGGAGAAAAAGGAAGACGGTTTTCACGCTCTGCACTTCTGTACACGGCTCTCCTAAGGGGGTGGCTACAATTCGGCGATCTGCCTGGTGTGCCGGGCTGCTGGCGGAGGCCCCTCCAGAGGCAGAAGGAAGGAGGCTCCATCCTCACCCCAAAACGGGCCTGTCCACCAACCCGTCTTTGTCTTTACAAGCGTGTGTCAGACAGAGTACGAAGGAAGTCTGAACTCAGCTCCTGATGTAAGGGGCTTGGGGTCCACGCCACTGCCCTGAGCTACAACCTTATGACTGCTGCCGAATAACCTTAACCGGGCATTTCCTGCCACATCTTTTCCTATTTCTACTTTTTTTTCTTTCTGGGTCACACCCAGCAACACTCAGGGGTTCCTCCTGGCTCTGCACTCAGGAATGACTCCTGGCGGTGCTCAGGGGACCCTATGGGATGCTGGGAATCGAAGCCGGGTCGGCTGTGATGCTGGGAATCGAACCCGGGTCGACCGTGTGCAAGGCAAACGCCCTACCCGCTGTGCTATCGCTCCAGCCCCGTCTTTTCCTAGTTCTGTTTGGTTTTTTGGAGCACACCGGGAGGTGCTCAGGAGTGAGCCCCGATGGTGCTGAGGATCAAACTGGAGGTCGGCGGCACGAAAGGCAGGTGCCTTAACCCTGCTCCCCTCCAAGTTTTCTCAAGTACCTAATGCTGCTGCTTCTTCATCAGTCTGGGGTGACCTGGGGGAGGATGGAGGGAGGAGTGAGTGCAGGAGGCTCCCCTCACTCTGGAGGTGCCCCCTCACCTCTAGACCCAGTGAGAATGCGGGCGAGGTAGGAGCTGAATGTCTGCCCAGCGGCGCAACCAGCTCCCGTCACCCGTGTGCTGGTTTGAGGGGAGCACCAAGGATGCTGTAGCACTCTCATCAGCACCAGCCTCCTCCACCCGAATCTATTGCTCCAACAACTGGACTATGCATCAGTCCAGGGATTAACGACATGAATTAACGGGGCAGAGCCCTGCGTCTCCCCTGGCCTGGGCAGCAGCCCCTCAGACCTGCCCACGGGGGCTCTCCCCGCCACAGCCCCGCTCCTTTTTTCCTGTTCCTGGTGTACCACGAGGGCAGGAGAGGAGGAAAGGGAGAGGGGTGATTTTCACAGGCCTGCAGGGATGGGTCGCCAAGTCATGGACAGAACTCTCTCTTCTAACCTAACTGGGAGAGTGACCCCAACCCCAGGGCCAGGAGCCCAGGAGAGCTGACCTTGCCATGGCCAGAGAGCTGCAAGACAGTGGCCTGGGGAGGCTGCCAGCAGGGCTTGGCACCAGCCCAAGGCAGGATGGGGGGGACGGGTGAGATACATAGACATTTTGGAACCATGTGATGAATGGGGTGACGTGATAATGGGGTGATGCATACTCCCTGGCCTCCCCGTGGCCTGGAAGGAAACAAGGAGTCAGGCCTGACTTTAGAGACTTCTTGCGTTTTTGTACGTAATTTTGGAAGGTTTTCTGAGGTCCTCTTTCTGGTCACTCCTTGGAAAGGCAAATGATAGCAGCTAGCAGGAATCCCTCCCCCCCCCCCCCCCCCCCCCCCGCCTCATTTGCCTCTAAGGGTCAAAGAGATTGACCTATGCATTCAAGGAAGCAATGGGCCCCTTGCTAGCCTGGCTGGCTGGGATGGGGGCGGAAGGCAGGGTTTGAGGGGGAGAGACAGACCAAGGAAAGCCCCCAAACCTAAAATGATCAGTTTTTTTTTTGGGGGGGGGTTGTTTTTGGGCCACATACAGCAGAGTTTAGGGATTGGCCACGTGCAAGGCAAGTGCCCTACTCACTGTACTATCTTTCTGGCCCCTGATAACTAAAATTGTAGCAGAATTTGGGGGCCCTTCTAGGTTCAAGTTTCTTGTTATATTTCAGTGGTTCTGTTCGGCATTGGGGAGTGTGTGACTTCTAGTCCAGGCCAGAACGATCTAATGTTTTCTTTCTTTCTTTGAAGCTGGGCTCTTCTTAGCAGTGTTTAGGGGGCCAAGGCCAATCGTTGGTCCATCAGTGTGAGCCTGATGGTGTTTGCATCTCCAGATGTGGCGCCGTTTAGGCCTGGTGGGGCTACACTCAGCAGTGTGGTAGCCGGGACTGGATGGACCCAAGATCTTGAGCATGCAAGACAAGGCATGCACTCCATGGATTTAGGCTTCTTGCCCAGCCCCTCCGACCTTGATGTCCTAGCACATGTGAAAGGATCATACTTGGCACACTAGGAAGAACAAGAAGTTAAATCGGGGCCGAGCTCAGTGGTAGTTATGTGATTGATTACCCCAGGGGCAACGGACTCGCCTGGCTCCCCAAGGACAGGTGGCCACCTCAGATTTTCAGACAGGCTAAGGCTGGACAGGCCTCCAGGGTTTCGAGGGCAGCAGATACCCCTGGGGCTAGAAGAACTGGTCCTGCGAAGATTAGGGAGAATGCCTCCATATCATACTATCCACACCAGACTAGGCACCACACCGGAAATGATGGAGACGGTATCAAGAAATGGGCTCCCAGGGAGGGACTGCAGAGATAATAGGGTAGAACGCTTGCCCTTGCATGCGCCAGTCTAGGATCAATCCCCGGCATCCCATATGGTTCCCTAGTCCTGCAGAAGTGATCCCTGAACACGGAGCCAGGAGTAAGCCCTGGGGACTATGCCCCTCAACCCCCCAAAACAAAACAAAATGGATTCCCAGAAGTCACTGGCTAAAGGATGGATTTAACCAAAGATTGCCGTTCAGTGCTTAGCAAGTTCTTACATATCCTTGGTGCTGAGGGTGACCCCCAGACAGACCCCCTGGGCTTGCTGTGCTCACACGGCAGGGCGCCACACTATTTAGGCCCTGCCTGGCCATCAGGTCTATGGACTGCTAAGATGTTCTAGGTCCCCAAGCCCATCTAAGTCCTTTGCACCCACCGAGCCCCGTGTCAAAGAACCCACGGCATCAGAGAACCCTTCATATGACTAACAGTCAAGGGGCTGGCGGAGGAGTCAGCCCTGCTGAGACAGTGCCAAGGCAGGGTAGCGTGTGGAGACCCCCCCAAACGCACGTTTTTCCCCTCAGTGGAAGCAAAACTGCTGACTTCCCCTGTCACCTTTAAGGTCCTCTAGTCGGTTTCTCTTTCCCTTTTCTTAGGGGCTGGGGCTGGGGTGTGCTAGAGACGGGCACTGACCCTTTTCCTGGAGACACGTCGTTGAAGTCACTCTCGGAAGACGCTCGACCATCTGCGCCTGCCCGGGTGTGTGTGTGTCTACCTGCGTGTCAGTGCCACTGGTGGAACCTGTTCTGCCTCATCCTCGGGTTCCAAGATGCACGGCGCAGGGTAGCGTGTGCCTACGTCTGCCCGGGCCATCTCCTCACTGCTGGCGCTGGTTTCTGAGCCCAGCAAGCGCTCCCGAAATAACGGTCCGCTGCATGGAACGGCCAGCTACTGGTCAGCCCTGGGCTACCCCTGCTTCTCTGCTCCTTACCAAAGACAGAGAGGGGTGAACAGGGCCCCACTTGATAGGTGACGAAAATACAAAAACAAGGGAGGAGCAGGCTGGAGGGGAGGCCATGCGTGACCCCAAAGTGGGTGCTGCTGCCTCCGCACTACCCCCCCCCCTCCCGGCTGTCCCCGCCACTGCACTGCCACGCGTGCCAACGCTGTCCTCTCCAACCCAGCCCTTGGCACACCCACAGGGGCAGGAACCAAGACGGAGAAAGGCCCAATCATTGCAGGGCCCTCTGGGGCACAGCTGCAATGCGGGCGGGGTGGGCCCTGCAATTCCCCATGTCCACTCGGACAGAGCCAGAGCTACTGATGGGAAAAGCGACCCAACGTAGCCCGCCAGCGGCGCGCCCCGGCCCCTACCGGCGTAGTGGTAGCTGGCGAGGGGATGGCACTTTAACCTCACTGGCTTCCGCAGCAGCAGCATTTCCAGGGCAGCCTGTAAGCACCAGGGGAGAGAGAAGGGCAGAGTCAGTCGGGGGGCTGCACCTGCCTGGGGAGACCACCTGCCTGTGGGGGGAGGGGGCAGCACTGGCAGAATCCCGGGCTGGGGGTGGCTGGGAGGAACAGCCAAGGGGGTTCCCTCCTGCTCAGTTCCCTGTGCCAACCCTTCCCAGCTCTGGCAGCAGCAGCCAACTGCCTCCTGCCCACCGCCCTGCTTCCTGGGTGAGGGGCCCCACCTCAGTGATGGTGGGGCCTCCGCTGAACAGAGCTGCAGGCCCTGAGGAAATGAGTGGGTGACTGCAACTGTTCTAGCAGGGGGGAAAAAAACCCCACGTTTCATTCCAACCAAACAGAAAGAGCTCTATTAGTAAGCGCTGTACTGCCCTCTGGCCTTCCAGGGAACCCAGAGTGATAACCCCTTCCCAGCCGGCCACCATCGCCCTCCCTGTCTCTGCTGCAGGCAGAGAGGAGGCTGGTGAGCGGGGAAGAGAGCAGGAAGCCCTGCGGATTAAGGGCCGATGAGACATCTCCTTGGGGCGTCTGTGAGCGCGTCAAAGGTTCCCTAAGGGCAGGGGAGAGAGAGCACAGGCGGGAGAGCACACGCCCAGGGCCTGGGCTGCACGCACGGCATGGCCACTGTCCACCACCACCACTGGACGGGCCTGGGCAAGTCACACCAGCAGGTTCAAGCTCTGAACTATGAGGCCTGCGTGTGGGCCAAGTACCACCGACAGCAGCTCCCATGCCCCTGGAAGAGCAATGCTATTTTTCCCTATGGGGGAAAAAAAAGGTACCAGAAATTCCGCTCTACTATTCTAATCTACAGTGCTAAAGGACCAGGACAGCTCTTCAACTAGAACATTTTTTCTTTTTTTTCCCTCTTTTTGGGTCATACCTGGGCTGAGCGATAGCACAGCGGCAGGGCGTTTGCCTTGCACGCAACCAACATGGACGACCCGAGTTCGATTCCTCCGCCGCTCTCGGAGAGCCCGGCAAGCTACTGAGAGTATCTCGCCCACACAGCAAAGCCTGGCAAGCTCCCAGTGATGTATTCGATACGCCTAACACAGTAACAACAAGTCTCACAACAGAGACGTTACTGGGCCTGCTCGAGCAAATCGATGAACAATGGGGGGGACAGTGACAGTGACAGGGTCACACCTGGCGATGCACAGGGGTTACTCCTGGCTCACGCACTCAGGAATTACTTCTGGCAGTGCTGGGGGGACCATATGGGATGCTGGGAATTGAACCCGGGTCAGCCGTGTGCAAGGCAAACGCCCTACCCGCTGTGCTATCGCTCCAGCCCCAAGTAGAAAATTCCTGAAGGGCGTAAAAATTTTCACAAGAAGTTAGTCCTAGGATATTCATTGACTTCACCTTTCTCCTAAAATCACAATGTCCAGCGAGTTAGATATGGTACGAGAATCAGGCTTCCCCTATAGGGAAGCTGAGCCCTGTGACTGAACGCTCTCCATCAGGACGAGGCGAATGAACAGCTGAGTCTGAAGAGGCGGCCCCAGCGCTGTTTTGGGGCACTAAAGAACTATGTCCAAGGTGGCATGTGACAGGAGCGGGCACACAGCCAACACTTCACTTTTTTTTTTTTTTGCTTTTTGGATCACACCTGGTGATGCTCAGGGGTTCCTCCTGGCTCTGCACTCAGGAATGACTCCTGGCGGTGCTCGGGGGACCATAAGGGATGCTGGGGATTGAACCTGGGTTAGCTGCGTGCGAGGCAAACGCTCAACCTGCTGTGCTATCGCTCTGGCCCAAACACTTCACCTTGGGTAGGGAAGAAAAGAGCCCTGTAAACAAACTGACGGTGCCCGACTTCTGTAGCTGGGGGGAGAGCACTCGGCAGAGCTCACCTAAGCCAAGTTTGGGTTCAGAAAGACCAGGGGCCGAAGAGATGGTGCAGGAGTTAGCGCATTTGCCACTCTGGTTCTACCCGCGGCACCAAGGGGTCCTCGAATCACCGCCTGGTGCAACCTTGGAGGGCACCTAAGCCCTGCCAGAGTGGCTGGGCGATCCCTGGCACTGCAGGACCTGAGCAACACCACATCCTCCCGTGCTCATTCTGGGTTACACACCCAACTGGCATAACATGACTGGCGCCCCTGGGCCTCCCCCCTCCCCCACCAATAAAACAAGACAACCAAAAATCGCAGGAAGATCTTTTATCTCTGTCCCTGGAGATCCGACTTTCTGATGTGAAATAAATACAGAACGGTTGACAACGAGTGCTCGTTTCCCCAGACAGAGGTCCCCCTGGTCATGGCCGAGGAACAGGTGACAAAACTAATAGGCCCAAGGGGGGGAAGGGGGGGGTTTCCATCCTGACCGCCTCAGACACATCGGTCCGGGAGGTGCCCTGGCTGGACTGGCTATTTCGTATGCAGGACGGAGAGAAGCTGACAGCGGGACACGTACTTCCCGAGGCTCCTTACCATCACGTCACCTTTGGCCTCGAAGAGAGAGTGCAAAGCAAACTCCGAATTGGTCCCTCCGCCTGGCAACGCACTGGAACAGCACAGATTCAGGAGATTCTCCACTGCGGGGAACAAGGAGGCGCGTCGGTGTCCGAGAGCCCGGCCTCAGGCGCAGTCCCCCCACCCCCCACCCCCCGGGTCCTCTCACATGCCTGTACCTCTTTGCTGGAGGTCGTGGTTCTCCAGCTCGGGCCAGGGCTTCCATACGAGCGTGGCCTTGTGTGTGTCCTGGGCCAGGGCAGAGACGTCCTGGAGATCTGGAATCTCCGCTTGGAATCTCAAGCCGATGTTGATGCGTCTTGAAGGACAAGGAGAAAAACAACGCGGGTCTTTAATGTGAGGCCCTGGGCAACTGGCAGGAACTCGGAAAAAGAAGGCTGCAGGGACAGAAGACTCCAGGCTTGGCTTTCTCATCGGGAGAAGGAACAGCTGTAAGCTTGGGGAGAGACGCTGTGGGGAGCCAGGGAGGGGTGGGCCTGGGGTTCTTTAAGAGCTTCCTACGGCTGGGGACAGGAGGGTGCTAATTTCAAGTTGCCCAACGCAAGGCTGACAGCGTAACCAGGAAAATGATCCCACCCAGGGAATTATCCCTGAATGGCCAAGACCTGTGATATAAACATGGCAGAAAAAACAATTATTCCTATGGTTTTTTTTTTTTTTTTTTTTTTTGCTTTTTGGGTCCTACTGTTTGTTTTGGATATTTTTGTTCTACACCAGGTGGAACTTAGGGCTTACTCCTGGCTCAGTGCTCAGAGGTCACTCCTGGAAATGCTTGGAAAGAAGAGGGGATTGACCAAATGCGGTGTTGGGAAGGAACTCAAACCAGATTCGCAAGAGCCTTAGCCTTGTACTAAGTCTCCAGCCCCAATAACCCTATAATTTGTTTTGCTTTGTTTTAAGTAACAACTGGCAGTGCTCAAGGGTTACTTCTGCCTTTGCACTCAGGAGTCACTCCCGGGGAGCTCAGGGAACCATACGTGATGCTTGGACAAACTTGGGTTGGTCACGGCCAAGGCAAGCACCCTCCCTACCCATTATACTATCCTACTTCTTAGAAATCAACCGACTCTCTCAGCAGCCAAGGGAGCCTAGAAAGTCTAACAACATCTCTCAAAGCTCCTGATCTCTCTCTTCAGTCAAGGTTTGCCCACCAAGCGTTTACTTACGGTTCAACATCCACAGTCTGCTCTCCAGGCCCGGGGGTGATGGTCACACTGCTGCCGTCAATGCTATCTGAGGCACAAAATAGAGAGATCAACGGTCAGGGGGGCTTGTAGAAACCAGAGTCAATGCTGGCCGTCTGAGTAGGGCCCTGATCCTGACCCCCGTTCCTGCCAATCCCAGAGAGCTGCAGTGAGACATGGGGAGGACGCCGTTCTCAAACAGGGTCAGGAGGAACCCCTCCGCTCAGCTAAACTCTGATGTTTTTGTGAAACATTTCTTGCTCCAAAGAGAAGGTCTGGCTTCTGGTCTCTTCGGGCATCCTTTTTTCTTTTTTTTTGGTGGGGGGTGAGATGCGGCGGGGAGTGGGAAGCCCCTGTCCCTACTCTTCCGACTAGCTTGGGTCACACCCAGTCTGCGCTTAGGGGTTACTCCCGGCTCTGTGCTCAGGAGTGACTCCTGGTACTCAGGGGACCATACGCCGAGCTGGGGATGAACTGGGGTGGTGCTGCAAAGCCCGTGAGCGGCCCGTGTACTCTCCGCCAGGCACTGGGGCCTCATCGGTACCTAGCAGGCGGGCGCGAGACACAGGCTGGCCCGCTTGCAGCCTCAGTCCATTCATTGTTCCAGTGACCCCCAGGGCTGTCTGAGCCGGGGCGCCCGGCACTTCTGTCCTTAATTCCGGGAGACTAACGTGCATGCGCCCCCGCGAAACCCTTCCACCAAGGGTCTCTGGTCCAGCACAGCGCGAGGGGCAGAGACCCCTCCCAAGGCCGCGGGGTAAGAAACAGAGGTGGAGGGAGCTGGTTCCACCGGGCACCTGGGCGAACCCCTGGGAGGGGGCGGGGTGCGGGGTGCGGGGACTCACTGGAGCGACAGAGCAGCACGCGGGGCGTGGGCGTGAGGGGCGTGAGCGGCAGCTGCGGGTGGACGCTGCTGAAGAGCCCCGAGCCCTGGCGCACCGGGCTCAGCATGGGCGGGGGCGTGTAGGGGGGCAGCTCGTGCGCGGGGTCCAGCAGCAGGTGGTCGCCCAGGACGCGCGGGGAGCGCAGCTGGCTCTGGTACAGGGTGGCGCCCGCGGGGTGCGCGGGGCAGGTGGGCGGCGGCGGGATGAAGAGCGGCTCGGGCCGGTGCCGGAACTTCTTCTTCTCCGTGGGGGTCCGCAGGGGGTCCTCGGCCTTGGCCGCGCCCGGGCCGGCTTTCCGGGGGATCTCCTTCAAGACAAGACAGGGGACGGGGAGGGGGCGTGATGTGCCGGGGGCACTCCTCGGGCCCGCCCCAGGGATCGGGGGGCTCCTGCGTTCCCACGGCTGGGACCCCCTGAGCAGGGCCGGAGGAGGGGGCGTGGCCTGAGGGGCGTGGCCGAGCCGAGAAGGGGCGTGGCCTCATGGGGTTGGAGAAGGGGCGTGGCCAAGAACGGGCGTGGCCACAGCCCCGCCCCCGGGACCCTCTCAGGCCCCGATCCCAGCTCCGAGGGGTTCGTTCCACGGCTGCCGTCCGACCCTGCAGCCCACCCCCTGGGCGGCCGGCCCTGGCCCGGGCTCCCCGTCCGCAGCAGGGCGCCCGCCCGGGGAACCCGGCAGCCACGTGCGGACACATCTGGACTCATAAAGAGACACGTTTGCAGGCGCAGGAGAGAAGCAGGGCAGGCCCAAGCCACGCACAAACAGACTCGGGTGGTGTGTCAGCCCTGGGTCTCCCGCCACCCCCTAAGCCCAGGCCTCTGGCTGCGTCCCCGCCCCGCGGGCCTGCAGTCCCGGGCGAGGCCAGCGGGGGGCGCCCGAGCGGGGGCTCACGTGACCCGCGCCTCCAGGCCACGTGACCCGCGCCGGGCTCTGCGCCCTCTGATCGCTTCTCCCTAGGGATGCTCTGGCTGCTTCGTGCACTCGAGGCTGCCCCCGCCCCTCCCCCCATCTCCCGCAGCCCCAGCTGTCTCCGGGGCTGCCCCCACTGCCTCGCAGGCTGGAGGGGACGGGGTGGGAGACCCTGTTTTTCCTGAGGAGACGGGACAGAGGCTGCCCGAAGCCCTTCCCCAATGGGAGGATTGGGGATCAACCCTTAAAACGGATCCCTGCTTCTGGGTGCCTGCCCAGCTTCCCCGAGCGCTAGAGACAGCGGCCTGGCACTGGAACCCAGGTCTGATCACAGGGCCGAAGTCCCCGGTATGGTGCTGGCCCCTCCTGCCCTAACTTCTGCCTTTCCCAGTCCTCCAGGCCGGGCTGAGCCCCTGGGCAGGGCAAGCTGCCCAGAGCGTCAAGAGGAGGCCTTTCCACATCCCACTCCTCCCCGCACCAGGCGCTCCAGTCCCCGAGGACCCAGCTGGAAAGGTTTGCAGAGCGCCCCAGGAAGGAGGAAACCACGCATGACTGCAAACCTTTCAACGTCAGGGGAGAAACTAAGGCTCCGCGAGGAATGCAGGATTCCAGCAGGCTAGGAAGCAGAGCTGGGGCTGGAACTCAGGGCGCCTTTCTGGAAACTTGTGGGGGGGAGCACATAACCCTGGCGATGCTCAGGGTTACCCCTGGCCCTGTGCTCAGGCATCACTCCTGGTGCTGCTCTGGGGGCCACATGGGATGCCAGGGATCAAACCCAGGTCGGCTGCATGCGAGAGCAAGCGCCCACTCGTACTATTTTTTGAGGCACCTCCCTGGAAATTTCATTTTGAACCCGTGTCAGGGTTCGCAGGAGACACTCCAGCCTCCTGAGGTCGGTCTCCGCTGTCCTCCCCTGGGCCTCTGTTCCCCTTTACCACACTCCAGCCCTGCCTTCAGACTCCTGCTTACGACTTCCTTTTCTTTTGGGGTGTGAGTGTGGTGCTCAGGGATCTGACCGGGATGAGCTTTGTGGAAGGCCAATGCTTAACCCCTGTGTTCTCTCCGGGCTAGAACTCCCTCTCTGCTGTCTCCTCTGACCAGCTTCACCTAAGGAGACTCCCGAATGACTCAGTGCCGGTTGTTATCTGCCCCTGCCTCTCACAAGAGCACTGCCAATTCTCCTCTGCCCCATCCGATCCCACCCTGCCCTCCATCTCCTAGTCAGTTAGTAGCCAGGGACACATATCACCTGTAATCATCAGAGAGGAGAGAAGTCGGGGGACAGGGGGAAGGGGGGGGGGGAGGGAGGGAGAGAGAGAGAGGGGGGGGTAAATTGCTTGGGTGAAGGGGTGAAGCACGTGGAAAGAAGCTAACAGTGAGAAACACAGATCTCTTTGCTTTCCTGAGATGGGGGGCTGAGGAGATTGTTAATAACATCGGGTCTACCAAGGGCACTGAAGCAGGGGTGATACTGGAAATCCTGAATGCCTGGTGAGGCTGATGGGTAGAATGCATTCCAGGCTGTGCCACGCGTTGTTTTTGGGTGGCTGGATTTGGGGCAGTCTGGAGAGCCTGGCAGAGGGGCAGGGTCCTGGAGCAGTATCCAATTACTGTCTGACACGGTACTTCCAGTTTAGCAGCTGGGACAGTGGCATCAGTGATGACCTGCTGAGTTATTGTCTTTTTTCAAATTTTTGGTTTGAGGGTTGCTGCATCCAGCTCTGTGCTCAGGAATCGCTCCTGGTGGGGCTCGAAAGACCATATGGGTCCTGGGGATCGAACCGGGATCAGCCGTGTGCAAGGCATGTGCCCTGCTGTGCTGTCGTTCCTGCCCTATTTTAGGGTTTTTTTTTTTTTTTTTTGCGGAGGAGGGGGCCATTCATGGCAGAGCTGGGGTCACTCCTGGCAGTGCTCAGGGGACCGTTCTAGTTGTTCCTGGCAATACTTCTGGGTCTTTCAGAGCTTCACCGAGCCATCCGCTGGAAGGCTAACAGGTGTTTAACAGGGAGTAGGGAGAGTGGCCATGGAGGGGATTCCTAGTGGGGTTCACCCGGAGAGCTCCGGTCAGTGACCCCGGGCAGCGTCCCCCCCGTCTCCAAGAAAGCAAAGGGCTGGCCCGGCCCCAGGCAGGCAGGCGGGCAGGGCAGGGCAGAGCAGCAACTCACAGCAGGCGTGCGGGGGGCAGCCCCTTGGGGGGAGTGTGGGGGAGAGAGGGTCATCCTCACGAGCACGGGCATCTCGTCGTCCGACACGGAGCTGGCCGGCTTGTCTCTGGTGGAGGGAGTGGCCGCGGTGCTGGTGGCGAAGCCCTGCGCACTGGGCTTGGGCGGCAGAAGCTTGACAGGGACAGACACGGGCATGACCATGGGCGTGAGGCTCTCGGCCTCGGGAGGGAGCTGCGGCTGTGGCGGCGGCGGTGGCGGCGGCGGAGGCGGCAGCGGCGGCTGGGGCGTAGGTGGCGGGGCCTTTTCTCCTTCCTCCTACACAGACAATAAAGGCTTTGATCCTAGCCACGGCCACGCTCGGGGGACAGGGGCACAAGGCGCCCCGGCGCCACTGGGGCACGGCCAAGGCCCCGCATGGTTTCCCTCTGGCCCCCACGCTTGGCGTGTCTTGCTTGTCTCTCTGGACGAGTGCCCAAGTGATCTGGGTTGTCATTACTCTCACAAACGGCCACATGCACACGTGCGCACACACACACAGAGCATGCTCTTCTGGGCCCGTTTGCTCATCTGTCAAGGGGGCTAGATGCTCGTCCTTCAGTTCTACTCAGCTAGGAAAGGGCGCTGGAGAGCCAAAGCTGCTTTCTTGTATCGACTGTTGTGCTTGGGGAGGGTCTCTCCAGCTGTGCTCGGGGCCTGGGGGTTGGGGGACAACTCCCAGATATACTCGGCCTGACTCCCCTTCAGCCCTATACCCATTCAGGCTCCCTCCCCTCCCCAAGGCTCTTTCTTGTTGGGGTGTATTGTTTTGGGCCACACCCAAGGATGCTCAGGGCTTACTCCTGGCCGGGCTCAGGGGGCCATGTGTGGTACCCGAGATCAAATCTGGGTCAGCGGCTCGCATGGCCAGTGCCCCCTTACTACCTCTCTGGCCCAAGATGAGGGTCTTTTGTCGGCAGTGGTCAGGAGTGATGGTGAAACCAATTTTGGTGACCAGGACTCACTCCCACACACTTCAATTAAGATTCCCTTTGTTCAAAGAACTCAGAGAAACTTCTTTGAACAGTGGCACGTTCACTGCACGGAAGTTATCCCGGAGCACCTGGAGGGTGTCAGGGGCCTTTGATACGGCCAGAGTTTAATCCCACTGTCCTTTCACTTTTTGATCTTTGCCATACCGAGGGATGCTCAGGGGTTACTCCCAGCTCTGCCTTCAGGAATTCCTCCTGGCGGTGCTCAGGAGACCGGGATGCTGGAATGGAACCTAGCCACCCCTGTGCAAGGCAAACGCCCTACCGGCAGTCCTTTCTCTCCGACCCCTCGTGCCCTTTGCAGCGGGCCGTGCTTGGTGTGGCAGGCACCGATGGGTGCATTAGCTCTCCTGGGCCACGGATTCCAGATGGGGAGGCCCACGTGACCCTGATCTGGGGGTGGGGTGTGGGGTGCTTTAAAAGCAGAAGCCAAAGAGGATATACTGCATCTACCCACCTTCTTGGCTGTCTGCCTAAAGGAATTTCTACCTTCTCTGACTCCTGGTAGAGCTGGGGGCGGCAGAACCCTGAGCCTTGGTAGCTCCCAGCACTGAAGTTCCTTCCCGGTGCCTGGGCCGGGCAGACTCTTCCTGGGCGCCCCTGGGAGCTGACAGTCACTGCGGGACAGCGGCAAAGCAAAGCGAGTAGCAAGGGCCGGAGGGGGCCCCGGAGCCGGCTCTGCGCACCTGTTTGAGGCTGGGGGAGGCCCGCATCCCGCCGTGGGACCGCATGTGGCCGTTCAGGGCAGGCAGGCTCTTGAACTCCTTCAGGCAGATGGAGCACGTCAGCTTGTTCTTGGCATCAAACTGCTCCCCCAAGACTCCTTTGGGTTGGCCACTGCGAGCGGGAAGAAGGGGAAGGGTCACTCAGGACGCGGCCTCAGACTCCGCCAGAAACTCACCTGGCCCACCCGGTGCTCCCAGGTCCCGGCCTCCTTGGGTTCATCCCCCCCGCCCGTCACTGCACTCGTTCTTTCATAATCGGTAAACCACGTTTGTAAGAGGATGACGGTCACTCGTTTAAGTACAATGGGCAGGGGAAGCACAGCCGCGGGGTGGGGTGAGCTCAGAGTCACGCAGGAGATGAACTGGACCCTGGCTCCAGGCCTACAGGAGGCGGGGTGCCACATCTATGGCTGATGAGCTCTGCTGACCCTTCCTGAAGTGGCCCCTTCCTCTCACATGACTGTGGCCCTACGTCTCTAAGTTCAGCTCCTGACAGCTCACATGAAGGCCTGGTCAGTGACAAATACTTGATGCGGCATCGTTTTTCTTTTTTTTAAAAGTTTTGGGGGCCACACCTGAGGATGCTCAGGGCTTACTCTTGGCTCTGCACTCAGGAATTACTCCTGGCGGGCTCGGGGGACCATACGGGCTGCTGGGAATTAAGCCCTGGTCGGCCGTGTGCACGGCAAATACCCTTCCCACTCTACTATCACCCTAGCCCCTGATCTAATGCTGCATCTTTTTGATTTTTCTGTGGGGAGGAGGCAAGGCCAATGCCCCTCCCCCCATATTTAGGGGCTATTCTGGCTCTGTGCTCAGGAGTGACCCCTCAAAAGGTCTCTGGAGACCATGTGATGCCGAGGATTTGAACGAGGTTCTTATACATGGCAAATGTCTTACCTTCTGCACTTCCCTACCCTTGGGAAAAATTAAGAAGAAAAATATTTTTCTGGTGGTGGCAGGGGTGGGCCTGGGACATATGTGGAAGTGCACAGGGCTTACTCCTGGCTCTGTGCTCAGGGAGCACTCCTGGCCCAGGGGACCACAGGTAGTGCCAGGGATGGCTGCGTGCGTGGCAGACACCTTAACCCCTGTATTACCCTCCCTGCTCCTCGATGAAGCATCCTAAAAGCTGGGCTTCGCGCCTGGCACACAGTAGGTAGACACCCGCCAACTAACTGAATGGATCCGACTGCACTACTGTGTCTTCACGTGTAAAGCGTGATCGTCACACACAGGAGGGGCCGGGCTGACACCCTGCCCAGTACATGGTGGTCAGATCCCCGCACTGGGCACGGCAGAGCACAGAGCAGGCCCACACAGAGCTGCGAGTGCTCTCAGGGTCGCGGAGAGACTGGCGGTGCACCTGGAAATGCACCCAGGGACAAGGCAGGCAACCTCCCCGCCCGCCCCCAAGGGCCGAAGCCTGCCCTTCCCCCTCCTACCTTGAGTCCGGGGACCCTGGCTGGGCTCTGCTGTCAGGGAGGTGCATCTGATTCGGAGCCAAGCGGGATGCCGGAGGGGAGAAGCGAGAGAACGTGTTTCAGTGGGACGGAGTTCTCCAGGGCCGGGCACCCAGGGCCTGACCGCCCGGGACTCTTCCCGCCCCCTCTCCCGCTCTTCTGCCTCAATAGTTCCTTCCTTCATTGCTCCCCGCTGGGCACTGAGCCAGGCGACGTGGCCACGGCCTCTGCTGCTCATCTTCTCAAGCTTCTCGGTCACTCCTGGGTGCGAGCCCTTGACAAGGCGGCCCAGGAGCTTCCTCTCCGGCCTTCTACTTGCAACGGAGCCCGCTCTCTTCCTGACCTGGTTCTGTGGGAGGCTCTCTCCTTCCTGACCCCGCGGTCGCATGTGTGCACTCAGGACACAGCCAAGCATGCCTAGAGCAGTGTGGCTGAAGCTTACCGCGTGACCAAGTACACCCGGGACGGAGACTCCGCACCATGGCCTCAGCCTGGCGCTACCAAGACACGTCCGGTTTGGCTCGACTGCTCCAGAGTCCCGAGGAGAACCCTCGGGTGACGGGGTCTCGAGAGTGCCCCCAGCCGCCACCCCTCCAGGCCTCTGCCTAATCCCTTGACCGGCCTGGTTCCGATGGGCTGCAGTTCACGGGGGACTCCCGGTGTGCAGCAGCACAGAGAGGCCGCGAGGGACCCCGCAGCCCTGCACCCTGAGTTACTCTCCGCAACTCCCACACCGGGGGCTTCCAGAGCGCCTCACCACACCCCTGCCACAGCCACTCAGACCCTACAGAACGAACTCCTGGTCTGAGGTCTGTCCTTGGGACTCTGCTGTCTGTCTGCGGGGGCTGCGGAGGGGCACCCTCACTGTCAGGTGTCTGGACACCTCCCTCAGGACCCAGGCTCTCATGTGGCCTTCACAGCGCCGAAGGGCCTGGGGCGTCTCCTTGGTGGCTGATGCCAGCTCTCTGCGGCCCAGGATGGGGAGAAACTGATTTTGGATCCCAGGGGCCAGGCGGAGCCAGTGTGTGGCCCGTGGGGGTGAGCACGTGCGTGGATAAAGAACCAAGGGCTGGGGGCAGGAGAGGGGTTACCTGGGGCCACACGGCACCGGGCGACAGCTGCTGGTGCTGCGGGACCATGTTGTTGAGGTGCAGCCCGCCGGGGGACAGGAGCGGCCGGTGGGAGAGCGCACCGCCCACCCGGTCCAGCTCGGAGCCGGCGGGCTCCGTCAGCCTGGGCTCCGGGGGCCCCAGGTCCCCGTGGGAGCTCAGCAGGGCGGGGGCCTGCCGGTCGCCGGGGTAGGCCTTGGGCTGGCTGTCGTCGCGCGGCGGCGGGGCCGGCGGGTGCGGGGGCAGGTGGCTCTGCGGGTATAGGGCGTGGCCGTAGGGCTGCTGGGGCTCCTGGTAGTAGTACTGCGGCACGGAGCCCAGCGGGATGAGCTGCACGGCGTGCGCCTGCTCCGCGCCGTACTGCTGGCTGTCCCGGTGGTACGCGGGCGGCTGCAGGTGCATGGGCTGCGGCTGCTGCTCGGGCAGGTGCTGCATCACGGGCTGGGACTGGTAGTACTGAGGTATCTGCACCGGGGCCTGCCGCTGCTGCAGCTGGAGCTGTGGCTGCGGCGACGGCTGCGGCAGGGGCGGTGGCTGGGCCGGGCGGAGCTGCGGCGGCGGCGGCATGTCTTGCACGGCCATGCGCGGCTGGCCGGCCGGCGGCGGCGGCTGCGGGTAGTACTGGTGCTGCTGCATCTGCGGCAGGTGCTGCGGCAGGGTGGGCGGCGCCTGCAAGGGCTGGGCCCCCTGCCCGGGCAGCTGCGGCAGGGGCTGCTGGTAGTCGTAGAAGAGGTGCCCCTGGCCGGGGTGCTGGCCCACCGGGAGGGCGGGCTTGGACAGCCCCCCGGAGAAGCCCGGGTGAGGCTGCTGGGGCACCGGCTGGTAGCGGGAGGGGAGGGGCGGCGTGGGGGCCTCCAGGGGCTTCTGGGACAGCAGCTGGCGCAGGGCGCTGTCGGGCGCCCCGTCCATCACGGCCGACTGCGTGTGCAGCACCTGGGCCATGTTGTTGACCTGGATGCGCAGGTTCTGGTTGGCAAACACCTGCGTGAAAGAGTCCAGCTTGTGCAGGACGCCGCTGGTGAGCTTCTGCGTGCGGATCTCGCTGGCCTGGGAATAGGTGTACTGGTAGCCGTCGGTGGGCTCGGCCTGGGCCGGGGCCCCCCACATCATGTTGGAGCTGGCCAGGTTGCCACGGAGCTGGAGGTGGTTTCCGGGCCCTGCGTGGCCCCCCCACCCTCCCTGTCTGGAGGCGTCCACTTGGCCAAGGTTCTTGGAGCCCACGGGCAAGCCCAGGCCGTCCCGTGCGTCTTGCGGAAAGTGCGGGGAGAGCGGGGAGGCCTGGGGCGTGTCCACGGAGGCCCCCGCGACGGCATTCCCGTAGCCGTGACTCAGCCCGCCGTGCACAGCCAGTGGGGGCTGCTGGTAGAACAGGTTCTCACCCCCGTGGCCCACGTGGTTGGTCTTGTACAGCTGCTGGTCCCCCATGACGCCGGCCTTGGTGGTGAACGTCCAGCCACAAAACCATACACGGAGGAGGGAGAGGCAACTCCCCCAGAAAGGCCCGGAACCCTGAGAGGCAGAGCGGGGGCGTCCGCCTATTCCACGGCGGACATGGCGCTGGGGGCGCTGGCGCAGGGGGGTTCCTGGTGGCCCGGAGTGCTCACGTGCAGAGCGGGGGGTTTACATCCTCGCCTGGCCGCAGGTTCAGACCAAAGCCCGCTGCGGGGGAGACACGCCGCTCACACCTGCAGGACGAGAGGCAGAATTCAGGCCAACGTGGGGACCCGGTGACAAGCAGTGATTCTTCCCAAGCGGGAGAGACACCCAAGCCAGGAGTCGGGCGGACACACACACCCTTCACCCCTGAGACCCTCTTACTCTTTGCTGTTTACGGGCTGCACCTGGCTGTGCTCAGGGATCACTTCCCCACTCTCAGAGATCCCGGGGACCCACAGAGGATGCCGGGGATCAAGCCCCGCTCAGCCGTGTGCAAGGCAGGTGCCCTACCCGCTGTACTATCGCTCTGGCCTCAAAGCAATCCTCCTTTCACTCTCTGGCTCAATGGCTCACTAGGTCACCAGCACACTCATTCATTGCTGGGTGTGCGGATTAATTCACCCCATTCTTCAAGGACCCTGCTACTGGGAGACACTCATGAATCCCTCTATGAGCCCCGCAGAAACTTCCAGACACCTAGGAAGCACGAGGCATGAAGCAGGGAAATGACAGACATGGGGCTGAGATCTTGAGGAACAGACCTGGGAAGGGGTGATCGGGGCAGAGGAATTAAGGACAGGAGGAAAGAGATGCATGCAAGAAGAAGAAAAGGCAAAATTAACGGGCACTCGGGGACTGGAACGTGCATTTCCAGCAGGAGATACACAAGAAATGGAGCAAGTTTCAAGAAGCACACGCGTTGATTTGCCAGCTGGCCAGCACAGCTCTCTGCTTTCCTGTGGTCCCCGTCCAGGGAACTATCTGGGCACAGGGCTGACCATGGCCGGACGCCCATAATGTGGCTTGGCACCGAAAAAGCAGGATGGGCCAATCAGATCCACTCTGAGAAACACGAGGAAGTTGGGAAGGCTGATCCAGCAGAGCATCGTGCCCCCTTACTTCACTTACGCACACATACACGGGACTTCCTCGGGGACAATGTCTGGGTACTCAGGAGCTAGTCCTGGCTATGCCTCTTTGGGGCTGGGCATTGAGCCTGGACCCCCGTGTGCAAACCCATGGTGTGGTCTGCCTTTGTGCCTTCACCGGCCCTCTGCAAGACTCAAACATTCGAGAGCCAACCACACTTTCAACTTCTTTCTAAGCTCCTTCCTGGACACCCGATGAGGGTCCAAGCTGGACGCTGACACTGGATCTTTGGCAAACATCTTGCTCCTTGACAAGAGAAAAGCAAGGGGCTGGAGAGAGAGTGCCATGTGTAAGGCACGCGCCGAGAGTGATTCCTGAGTGCAGAACCAGGAGGAACCCCTGAGCACTGCCGCGTGTGACCCTCAAACAAAACAAAAGTACAACAGAAAAGCCTACCTGCCTCCCTTCCTCCTCCTCCTCTCTCCCTCCCTGTTTTGTGCCACCTTTGCCAGTGCGAGACTCAGGTTCTCAGATTCCTGCTGTGCCAGGAATCAAACCCAAGAGGCCTCGTGCAAGGCAAGCTCCTGACCTGCCTGGTCCCTGATACTTTCTTTTTATTTATTTATCCATTTATTTGTTTGCCTTTGGGGCCACACCCGGCGATGCTCAGGGGTTCCTCCTGGCTCTGCACTCAGGAATTACTCCTGGCGGTGCTCGGGGGACCATATGGGATGCTGGGAATCGAACCTGGGCTGGCCGCATGCAAGGCAAAAGCCCTCCCCGCTGGCTATGGCTCCAGCCCCAATACTTTCTATTTTCACCCCTTCCTTGCCTTCCCACTGTGGTCGTGGTATTGTTATGGGAACCAAGTGTGGACCAACAGCTGATCTCTGTGCTCCCTGGAGATTGCTGCGGTGCCCACCAGGATCACACACGCCGGCCACAGTGCTCACTGGGGAGGAGGGGCGTCACGCCCTTCTGGGCTGTGGCCTGGCTGGAAATTGCTCCCCAGGTGGGGATCACAGACGGCAGAGCTGCCAGGACCAGTTTGGGGCACGCAACACAGAGGGTTGAACTTGTCACCGTAGGCTGGCAGGTCAGCTTCCCTAAGCCCCGTCCTATTCCTGTGGGCCCTCCCTCCCATTTCTCAACTGGGTTAAACACTCCAGGAATAAGCCAAACGCCCCATCTCCCTGACCCCCGCACAAGAGGACACTCCAGGCAGAGGAGAAAACAAGCCATAAATGATAGTGAATTATCTCCGCGAGCGGCACGGCTTCCGATTCTCTCCTGACTAGGAAAGCCCAACAGAAGGAATTAAAATGTCATTGCTGGCGATAGGTCGCCAGGGGGTTTTGGCATCTTAGACGGCAGGAGGAGAACGGAGCGAGCCCGCTTTAACGGAGCCTGTATTCCCTCCTCCGAGCTCACGAGACGGGGCTCTGCAGTGCTCACGTCTACGGGACCGACCACCGGAGCCGCTCGCTATCCCGTGTTCCTGGCGGATGCTCGAGTCCTGCAAAACATCCTAGGACAGTTCTACTCTATTTCTGGGCCTGGGCTGTTGCTGCCCGCGGGGTGGGAGGGGGGGCTGCACCCCCTCCCTCGTCACAGGTGGGTGTGTTTTGTGCATCCATAGAAATAGTTTCTATGTTTTTTCCCCCCTGCATTGGGGATCAAACCCAGGGTCCTGCGCATGCCAGGCATGTGCTGTACGGCTCGGCCCTCTCTCTTCCACCCCCTGCTCCTTCCAAACGAATCCAGGGGACACGGGATGGCTCAGGAGCAATAATGCCTGCACTGCACGTGTGAGACCTTAACTTCGACCCCGGGTGCCACCCCCATGTGTCAAGCACGGTCCTGGGAGGCTTCTGCTGTCCGGGAGCTCCAGCCCCAAGCAGGGGGCTGTCTCCAACCCCAGACCACGGGAGCGGCAACCCTGGCCATCACCACAACGATAATCACAGCGGTAACGCCACTGATGGCAGCCACAACGACAACAATGAAAGAAAGGGGGGGGGGCTCGCCCTCACCACCACCTCCCAATTCACAGGGTAATGAAATGGATCCATTTCTTATTTATCCAACTTCGGAATACGCTGGTCGTTTCGATCAGTTTCATACCACTAATAATTGTAATGATAACTCAAATCCGAAGAAAATTTTTACTACTTAGAACTTTATGGATCCAGGAAATTAAAATTTTTTTTTTAGCTTCATGCAACACTGCAAGAGGGAGTGGGTTTTAAGCATTAAATTGTGTTACATATATTACAGTGGAATACAATTTCACGAGACGGAAATAAAATTCCGGGGAGAAACCAGGAACCCCCACTAGCGGCGCAGAGCACATTCATGCATTTTTAAAGGGACGATGGTGGGGATCAAACTGCTCTGGTACTTAGACTCCACTGCATACATGAACAACAGTGAGGTAATAGTTTTACCTAAAAAAGACCAATGTTTACACCACACGCTGGAAATCGCATCCTGCAAGCAGATGCTGAAACATGCAGATGTAAACTTCCAAGTGTGTGAGGGGGCAGCAAAACTCACAAAACCCTTTTATGGGGGACTTGCAGAAAAGTCTGGAAGCAGCGGCAAGTTGTGTTTACAACGGGGCGTGCTCCGAGAGGGTCTCTGTCCCTTTTCTCATGACACACTGGGGCGGGAGGAGGAGGGGCAGATAAGGGGAGCAGGGGCAAGAGACAGAGGCGGGACGCGGAGGCCGGCCAGAGCAGACCCTGGACGTGAAGGCCAGCTAAGAGCAGAGAAGAGGTACGAAGACGGGGTGCTGGAGGAACTGACTGAGCGGCAGCAGCGGCGGCTCAAAATGTCTTTCCAGACCCCCAGCTGCGGGGTGGTGGTCCTGAGGAATTCAGAGGCTCTGCTTGCACCCAGATCAATTCCATCAGAATCTGCAATATCCTTAGCCCCCCCCATCCCCCCGCCGCCAATCAGTGCATACATCAACACTGCAGAAGCAATGGATCGGGAGGCCTCGGTGAGGCAGAAAGGAGAAGCCCCCGCCCCCCTGAACTGACGGTGAGAAGCCCCGTCCCTGGGCCGCTAGAGCCCAAGCTGTATAACACAGGCCACACAGGAAGGGCCCCACGCCCCTCCCCCCACCGCGTTTGGGTGCTGCTGTATCAGGCCAGCACGGCTGGGTGTGGCCAGGACAGTGTTCAGGGCTTACCTCCAGGCAGGCCTGGGGGACCATATGGGATGCTGGGAATCGAACCCAGGTCGGCTGCGCACAAGGCGAACACACTACCCACTGTACTATCGCTGTGACCTCCAACAACCTTCGACTGTCTTAACACCACCCGTTACCCCCCGCCCCCACCCCTTCCGATCACCTGTGTGAGACCTGGGTCTGTCTTCTGGACTACTTCGACCACTTCCGGCAGCCTTCCCTGCTTCCGGGAATGTCCACACTCCAGAAGCAGCAGAATGAACCCAGCATCCTCCCAGAAAGCATCCTCTCTTCCCTCCACCCTCTGACCCAGGCTGTCTGCTCCCCAACCCGGGGTGATGATCTTCCTCCCTGCTCTCCACTCCCTTCCCAGCCCCAGCCTGCCAGGCTGGCAGTGCCTGGGGGGGCCTCAGATCTGGGGTCGAATCCCTCTCCATGCTCCTGGCCCAGTCTGCAGTTTCTCAGGCCTGCCCCACCCCACCCCAAGTCTAGGGCTTCCTTCCGGACACATCCCGCTAAAATCCTCTTCTTTCCTTTGGCCCCTCTTCTAGCCTGGAATTGTACTTTCACCTGCTGAAATTATTTGGCGAGGGGATGGATCACCCGTGAGAGCTGGGGCCATGTCTGGTTTTGCTTGTGAAAAGGTTTCCAACATATTTTGTGTATGTGAATGGCGGGGGAGGGGCAGGGCAGACCCAGTGGTATTCGGGGGCCTTACTCCCTGGCTCACTCATGGTGGGGCTTGGGGAACCATAAATGGGTCGGGATTAAGCCGGGGTTGGCTTCTTAAAAGGCAAG